GGGCACTCAATTTCGTGGACCGCCGCGCCAGCCCACAATCAACGGTGTGGAGGCGCCTAGACGTGGACCTAACACGTGCTTCAACTGCCACCAACCGGGCCACTGGAGGAAGGACTGCCCGCAGCTGAAACAGGGAAACAGGAACGACGGAGAGGGGTCGGGAAAAGAGACGAGTCAGTAGCAGTCGGGCCACCTACTGACGAGACCCCGTCGCCCGGCAATCAACATCCACACCGAGTAGTGGTACCGATACGGGCTATCGACCGCAACCGGACGAATAAAGTGGATGAACACGTGGATCACCCTGTGCTGGACGTGGGGAGGGTTAACAGACATAAAATAAAATTATTCGTTGACGGTGGGGCGAGCCACAGTCTCGTCAACCTGGCAACGGCCAAAAAAATTGGAGTCAAGCTGGACAGGTGTCTGCCCGAGATTGACGCGCGACTGGTGGACGGGACACCGCTGGCGATCAAGGACGAGGTCCGACAAATTCGGATGAAGTGTGGCGACGATTTCGGGTTTTCGATGAAGATGCTGGCGACGACACTGGACGGTTGCGATGTGCTGCTGGGACGAGATTGGCTACAGCGATTCAATCCGACGATCGACTGGACGACGGGGGCAATCACGGTGCTGAGCAACAAGGGGCGCGTGACACTTCCGAAATGGGCGGAGCCGGAGCCGATGACAACACGTGTCAACGCAATCACGCTGACGAGGGCGATAAAACGGGGAGCGCAAGGCTACGCCGTACAGCTGTACGAGGTGGTGGCGTCCGAGAAAATCGCCGACATTGACACGCTCTGCGCTGCCGTGCCTGACGACGTGGCGAGCATAATTCGGAGGTATCCCGAAATTTTCGCGGATGACCTGCCTGATGGGCTGCCACCTCAGCGTCCGGAGGACCACAGGATCGAGCTGGAGCCAGGCGCAAAACCAACTGTTCGGTCACAGTGGCGGCTCAGCCAACCGGAGCTCGACGAGTTGCGGAAACAGCTAGATTATCTGCTCTCGAAAGGTTTTATCCGGCCGAGCACGTCACCTTACGCCGCCCCGATACTGTTCACACCGAAGAAAGACGGAGGCCTGCGCATGTGTATCGACTATCGAGCGCTGAATCGGATCGCCATCAAGTCGCATTACCCAATTCCGCGAGCGGACGACCTGCTGGATCAGCTTCGCGGGGCTCGCTTCTTCTCGAAAATCGATTTGCGAGGTGGCTACCATCAAATTTGCGTGTTCATCGACGACTGCCCGAAGACAGCGTTTCGCACCCGTTACGGCAGCTACGAATATACAGTGATGCCGTTCGGACTGACGAACGCACCCTCGACCTTCCAGCTCACCATGAATGGGGTGTTTCGGGACATGCTGGACAAAAAGGTGATAGTTTACCTGGACGACATCCTGGTGTACAGAAAGACTCGGGAGCAGCATTTACGGGACTTAGACGAGGTATTCCGGCGCTTGCAGCAGAACCGACTGATTACCAAGGGCTCTAAGTGTGAGTTCTTACAGCCGGAGCTGGAGTTCCTGGGGCACGTAGTTTCAGGGGAGGGTATTAAAATTGACCCTCGTAAAATCAAAGCGATTTCGGAGTGGAAGCCATCCACGAACATCACGGAGCTGCAGAGTTTCCTCGATTTCGTAAACTACGTCCGCCGTTTTGTACCGAATATGGCGGGGGTGACCAGACCGCTAACCGATCTTCTGCATAAGGGCGTGCAATTTTTGTGGGGGGAGAGAGAGCAGCTGGCCTTCGACGAGCTGAAGAAAGTTTTGAGTTCACCCCCGGTGCTTCGCCTGGCAGATCCATCTCGACCGTTCGAGGTTGTGACGGACGCCAGCGATTTCGCCGTCGACGCCGTGCTACTACAAGATTTCGGCAACGGACTGCAACCCATCGCGTACGAGTCAAGAAAAATGCAGCCGCCCGAGCGCAACTACCCTGTACACGACAAAGAAATGCTCGCCATCGTGCATGCATTTCGTACCTGGCGCTGTTATCTCACGGGAGCTGACGTCACCGTCCGGACCGACCACAAGTCATTACAGTACATGCGCAGCCAACCACAGCTCAACCCGCGACAAATTCGGTGGCTCGATTACCTCGAGTCCAACTTCAGCTACACCATCACGTACAAGAAGGGCGCCAACAACATCGCCGACGCCCTGACCCGCCCATCCATGCAAACCGCAGCAGTACTAATCGCCCATTCTAACCCTTTATTGGCAGGATTATTCAAGCATGGCTACCGAACTGACAGGTTTTTCAGGACCAACCTACACCAACGGGTCACCACAGCGCATGGGAGCTACTACCTAAAAGCCGGTACCAGCCGCGTTTGGGTACCTTCCTACCGACCCCTCAGAGAATTGCTGACGCAGGAAGTCCACGACTCCAACCTCTCCGGGCATTTCGGCATCGACAAAACGTTGAAGCTGCTGCAGCGGAATTACTACTGGCCCGACATGGCGTCGGACGTGCAGCGCTACGTGTCCGCCTGCCCGACCTGCCAAGCAATGAAATCATCACGCCAACGCCCGGCTGGACTGCTGCAGCCCCTCGAGCCACCCGAACGACCATGGCAACAGGTGACAATGGACTTCGTTACGGGACTGCCAGTTGGCGCAAGTGGCAACGACTCCGTGCTCGTGGTCGTCGATCGCTTAACGAAAATGGCGCATTTCGCACCATGTCGCACGACGATCACAGCCGAAGAAACAGCAAAGCTATTCATCGCAACTGTCGAACGACTGCACGGGTTACCTTCGGCGATCATCAGCGACCGCGACCCGAAATTCACGTCGAAGTTCTGGCAGGAGACATGGGCACAGTACGGCACCCGTCTGCAGTTTTCGTCGTCATATCACCCGCAGACCGATGGCCAGACACAGAGGACAAACCAGACGATGGAGCAGTTAATCCGTACAAACTGCCCCGACATCACCTGCGTACAACAATGCTCCATCTGCGACGACCAATCAGTCACCGTTCTACCTCAATTACGGGATAGATCCGGTGGTACCCTCGTCGACGACCCCTGAAAATCCGGTACCACGATCGCAGCAGTTCGTCTCGGAACTTCAAGCAGCACGCGATAAAGCAGCGGAATTTATCCGAAAGGCTAATACAGCCGCCAGCCGCTACGCGGACCGACATCGACGGACTTTACCCTTCCGTGACGGGCAAATGGTCCTTCTAGACACGAAGAACCTCAAACTGCCCCAGCCCGCAAAATTGCGTCCCCGCTACGTGGGACCTTTACGCATCATTCGGATGCTGACACCGGTCACGGCGAAACTTCTCCTACCGGACGACTGGAAGATCCACGACGCTTTCCACGTCAGCCTCCTCCGCCACTACGTGGCTCCGCAGCCGTCCGACGTCGCTCGACCCAACCTGGCGCCAAGTGTCCGACCTGTGGCAGATCCGACACTTCAACCTTGGAAGATCTTGAATCACCGCATTCGTGCGACCCCCGCTGGACGCCACGTTGACTTCCTGCTACGCTGGGTGGATCGCACAAGCGAAGATGACACGTGGGTCCCCGCTGACTCACTCCAAGGGCACTCGGTCCTTCGGGGTTATCTCTCCCGCCGACGTGTGCCTGATGTTGACCACCTTTCTTAAGGGGGGGGGTAGTGTAAGGAATTTCGCTAATTCCTTACTGAGGCTGTTCTTACGCGTACAATTCCAACCTTCGGAATTCAGGCTCGGTCCGACGACCTCGCCTTCCGAACGTCAACCGCGTCGCCTTCGGGTTTTCCAACCCCAAACCTGCACCCAACCTTCGCGCGACTCCGCGACCTCGGCCTAGCTAGCCTTGCTATATTGTGCCTAGGCCTCGTTGTTCGATCAGTAGTTGTAATCACTTCCGCGATATTGCATTCTGCGCACTCTTCATTCTTACAACCCATAATAGTGACGTCTTGTTATAACTCTCATCATTTTACAACGGTAGGTTTCTTGTCGCGGCTGGGTTTGACCCACCACCTTCAGAAGAAGCTTCGAGGTGGGTGGGTGGGAATTGCTTCTCGCGCCGCGAGTTCTATGTCAGCTTGGGTAGTGACCGAGCCACCACTACTAGACACCGACCGATCGAATGTGTCTGATATGAGAGATTTGCAGAAACGGTGATTTTCGTTGCGTATGTTTCCGAAATTCTGAGCAAACAAGATGTTCTATCTTGGTTTAGGGTTACTTCTTCTGTTTTCGAAAAAAAACAGAGAATATCAGAGGACTAAAAAACAGGGAAGTGATCCTCTAATTTCTATATTTTTTTTCACTCAGACAGGTGCCCTTTACCAGGCGAGAAGGGAAACACTGGTGTACAGTTCCATGATGAGTGTTTATAGAAAATATGTCCGTGTCATTCTGCCGCGCAACTGGAATCAATACGCACTGTAGTTGTGGCATCCTAATATTTGGAAACCTCAGAAGAAATTCGCTTTCTGAATGCTCTCGTTATATTAATTCCCGGGTGGGTACAGCACCGAGCGTGAGGAGCGCGGTGCGGTGATGGCGGGAGTGAAGTTGAGAGGGCGACGAGGCAGTGAGCGGCGCGGGCATCAACGGATGTGGGCACCCGCTGCTGCATCACTCTCTTCCTCCCTCCCTCCCCCCAATAAACCAGACCTTTCCTCCGTGACCACAGCTCGCCCAGCAAGAAAAGAAACTGTCGGCCGCCGTGTCGTCCTGAACACGGTACAGCACAACCTCAATCAATTCAATTTGAAACAGCAAATTCTAAGCTTTTCGCACACCTTTTGTCAGCATCCTACACTCGTCATAACTAAACTGCATCCTCGATCTCGCAAACCTTTTTGAGAAACTCGTTTTCAGCTACGAGCAGCCTGTGAATACCGTACTTTACCAGTGCTCCCTACTGTTGACAATACCATTTTCTTTCGTAGGCTGAGCCGTGGAGCTCGAAAGATTCACCATACGATTGCTTCTCCCAATGAAACGGTCATACGGCACAGAGCATGCCTGCATGGCTCGTAGGACTCGCAGTCCCCGACCGCCCGGCGGTTGCATCGGCGGATCTCCTTCCCGCGCCGTGGCTGTCGTAGTGGCGGCGCTTATAGTCGTCGCCGGCAGGTACGGCTAGCGTGGGCTCGTGAGACGGCAACAAGTGGGTACGCAAGCGGGTCGTCGGGTCGCAGGGGCTGTACGACTGTCACGCCGGCTGCGCAGGGGCGCGCAAGGAGGCAGTGGGTACTGAGAGCTGTGGTTATGGCGATCGCGGGCCCGAATACCAATACGTTGGGCGGTAGCTTCGGCTTTGTTAGACTGCTGTGCGCAAACCGCGTGAATTGCCGCGCTTGCTGCGCGGATTGCTGTGATGGTGGAATACGCTGCTGTGCGAAGCTGTCGCAGGTTCACGTATGCGGTACCACCACGAACGGCTGAAGTGCCTTCCCGTTCCCCTTGCTCCCCTTTCCCGCTTCATTCCCCTCCCATCCCCGCCACCCCGATACAGTCTACCGTCCGCCTCTCCCTCGGCCGCGTCGACAGAGCCTGCGTCAGCGCGCCCCAGCGCCGGTCGACCGCTCTCCTCGCTGCGCAACTTCCTCGCCTACCACCGCGGAGGTACTGCACGCTGCTCCCGCCGGCACCGCATGCCGCCGCGTTGGCGCCGTCACGCAATCATATGCTAGTCTCCTGCTCCCCACGGCAGTTCCCAGCCCTCCCCTTGACACTCCTCTCCACTGCCCGCCGCCGCACGCCCGTCACCCTCGCACCTCTCCCCTTCTCCGCCATCCCCCATCTCTCCCCCCATTTCCAGAGCGCGTGCTGGCATCGCAGCAGTGCGGCGTGTGCTGCAGCGCGCGGCCTGCGCGGGTGCCGGCGGGCATGCCGGCGATGCTGTCGTCGTGGTACCTGCAGAAGTGGCTCACCGGTCAACGGGTGCGCGCCCAGGGGTGGGCAGGGGGGAGCGTCGTGTTCCACAGAGATTGGGGCGCGAGGGGGGTGAGAGGGAGAGGGAAAGGATGGAGCGTTGGAAGAAATGGTAGGGAGCGAGCGAGGAGGGGATGAGTGCGGAAAGAAAGGGAGGGGCGCGTTGTACACGCGACAGAGGAGAACCGCGGCGAGTGAGTGAGCGGAGGAAGAAGAGAAGAGAGAGTACGGGCGGAGGGATGCTAACGATTCTCATAGATAACGGGCAGTCCACCTGGTTCCCCCACTCACCCTCTCCACCCCTCGCCTCCTCGCTCTCTGACCCCCTCTGCCCGCCGGTCTCGCCCCCCGCGCGTCCCACGGCAGGTGCAAGTGAGGGCGTCGTCGTTCGGCACGTGGTGGCGGCCAGACGGCGGGGGCAAGGCGGGCAGCTACATCAGCAGCCGCGGGGCCCTGCAGCCCAGCGCAAGGGAGTTCTTCACCGTGCTCGTCGTGGGGGCCAACCGCGTGAGTGCGCGCGCGGGCAGATCATGAGAGGGCGGGGTCGAGGGGGAGAGGGCGTGCGGGGCCGCTGGAGGATATGCGGTGTGATGGATCCGTGCTCGCATACCTGCACTCGCACCTTGCCTTAACTCCCACATATACCCCCCCAGCCAACCCCCACCCTCCCTCCTGCCCCCTTCTCCCCTTCCCCCCTGCCTCTTCCCTCGTTAGTTTCATTTGTTCCCAATCCAATCACACACGCTGCTTCCCGCACGCTGCTCTCCAGAAGGCTTCTCTTTTCTCACATACATAATCACACCCTATACAGCTCCCGCTCTGCCTCACCCCACACTTCCCCCGCCCTCCGCTCCTGCTTCCCCTCTCCCTCTTCCTCCCTCCCCCTCCTGTGTTATGCCCTCCTCCTCCATTTCTACCTTACCCCCGCTCCGCTCTCCTCTCTCTTCCTCCCTCCCTCTTTGTCCCCCTCCCTCCTCGTCCACTTTCGTGCCCAACTGCGCGCGTGCGTATGCACCATGTGAGGGCAGATAAAGCTGGTGACGCGCGTGGGCACGTACCTGGCAGCGTCAGGCAGCACGCCTCCGGGGTACAGCAGCCGCCCGCTCGTCACGACAAGCAAGGCCAACAGCCCCGCCACGGTGTTCCAGGTGTCGCGCGTGGGCCGCTTCCACTACCTCTACTCGCCCTCCTCCCAGTCCTACGTGCGCACTCGCGCCAACGGCCAGGTGCGTGCAAAGGGGTTCTGGGTGCAAGGAGGGGTAATGGGAGCGGAGGAGGGAAGAGGGGTGGGTGGAGAGAGAGGAGGTTGGGCGCGGAAGCAAGCAGGTGCTGGCAGTGCTTGCTTGCCACAGCTCTCTGTGCAAACCGTCAACACCATCCCAAAGGCACATACACCCTGTTCCCTGACCCCCCCACGCATCCCAACGGGCGTGCAGGTGACGGTGGGGGGCACGGCGCGCACCAACTTTGGGCGCATGGAGGTGGTGGAGGTGAAGAGCGTGGCTGCGGTGCGCGGACCCAACCTGGGCAGCTGGCTCGTCTACGAGAACTGGATGGACCCCTACGCCTTCCCCCGCTACTCCAACATCCTCGACGGCACCAAGGTCGCTGCTCCGCTCTGCTCTGCGCGGCTCTCTTGTGCTCCCCGCCCGGCGCCCTCTGCACTCTGCATGCGCTGCTCGCACCCATGAATGCCACGCTCTGCCTTCCATGCACCGCATGCTGCATGCTGCTGGGGAGCGGTTGGGGGCTGGTTGCTGAGTGCTGCGAGCCGTCTGCTGCAATGGAATGTGCCCACCACCCACGACTTGTTGAACATCCTTCAACACCCGCCCTTCCCCACCCGCCCATTGCATGCTTGTCTTGCGACCACTGTGGTGAATGTGCAATCACCCTGCACTCTTGCGCAACCTTCACTGGAGCTGTTACTTTGGTGCGTGTGTGTGCATGTGGGCGCGTGCAGATCACGCTGTTCAACTACAAGTATCTCAAGTACATCACTGCACCGCAAGGAGGAGGTGGATGGGTAAGTGCACCACACAGATGCACCTCCCCATTGCACACATGCACCTCCCCATTGCACACATGCACCTCCCCATTGCACACATGCACCTCCCCATTGCGCACATGCACTTACATGTGCTGCTCTTACTGCTTCCTTTGCTGGGCACACCTCCACCCACCTCCCTCGCTCTCTCTCGTCAACCGTGCCTCCCTCTGCAACGTGCCTGCCACCTGCCTTGTGCCCTCATGGCAGCTGCGCTGTGATGCGGACTTCGCAGGCGACTACGAGACGTTCATCGTGCAGACCCAGGCGCCCAACCAGGACGCCTACCATGTACGCCCCACCCCGACCTCCCCGCCCCTCATCCACCTCTTCTCTCACCACGTGCTCCCGTGCTCTGATTCTCCCCTCTGCTTTCCCATCCTTCCCCTCATCGTGTTACCCCTGCCCTCCTCCACGTGAAGTCAGATGGTAGGCGATGGGCTACTGCATGCACCATGGCGTGGCGTCCCATGCCATGCCATGCCATCCCATGTCATGCCCATGCCATGCCATGACATTCCATGAGATGCCCATGACATGCCATGACATGCCCATGCCATTCCATGACATGCCATGCCATGCCTGACATGACATGGCTTTCCCTGCCATGACATGCCGTGACATGCCATGCATGTCGCTGACCATGCCTGCCTCGTCCACTGCACAGCCCCCTCCCCTCCTCACCCCTCAGCCCCGATGGCCATCTGTACACATTCTTGGAAACGCCTTTCTGTGCTGCACTTGTTGGGCCTGTTGCACCAGTCGAGTCACCCACGCATGACCTGTTCCTCCTCCCCTCTCCCCTCTCCCCTCTCCCCCCTCCCCTCTCCCCCCTCCCCCCTCCCCTATCCCCTATCCCCTCTCCCCTCTCCCCTCGCCCCTCTCCCCTTTCCCTTCTCCCCTCTCCCCTCTCCACTCCCCCTTCCCCTCCCCTCCTCCCCCTCCCCCCCCCCCTTCCCCCTCCCCCTCCCCCTCCCCCTTCCCCTCCCCCCCCCACGTGCACGGCAGCTGCTGGCGGAGGAGCGTCTGTTCTGGCGCCTGCCAGCGCGTGCCACCATTCCCTACGCCGACGCCTTCTCAACCAGTGCGCTGGTCAGTGCTCCCTGCCCTCCGCGCACCCCACTCACTGCCACTGCATGGCACGCGGGTGTCACACGACACGTCTCCCGCCCTCCTCGCACGGCTCACTGCATCTGTGCGCACCAAATAGTTCCCTCGCCATCATCCCCTGCACTCCTCACCCATGTGCCTCATGCTCTTGCAGCGAGTTCTCCTATCAGCTCTTGCCCTCATCTCCCCCCCCTCCCCCTCCTGCCTCATCATTCAAACCTCCCCTCCCCTCTCGCCGTCGCCCCTGGCCCTGCTGCGCGAGTGCAGACGCGGTTTACATTCAAGCGCAGTCGCAAGGACCGCACGATGGTGGCAATCCTGGCGCCCAACGGGCAGTACCTGCAGGTGCAGGCGGACGGCGCACTCATTGCCAACTTCCCCCCCGCCAACGTCAGCCTCAACGACCCCGCCTTCCTCAAGGGCCCCGCCGCCTTCCAGTTCACTCCGGTACGCCTGGGTCGGCCACTGCTGCAGCACAGAGGCGTGTGTGTATGTGCGCGGGTGTGCATATTTGATGCGTGTGCGTGCGTGCGTGTGTGTGTGTGTGCATGTGTTTGTGTGCAAGTGTGAGTGTGTGCTTGCTTGCATGTAAGCTTGTGCGCCGGTGTGAGTGTGTGCTTGTGTGTGAGTGTGCTTGCGTGCATGTTGTGCATGTGTGCTTGTGTGCGTGTGTCCGTGTCTGTGTGTGTGTTTGATGCGTGTTTGATGCGTGCTTGTGTGTGTGTGTGTGTGTGTGTGTGTGTGTGTGTGTGTGTGCGCGTGTGTGCGCGTATGTGTGTGTGTGCGTGTGTGCGTGTATTTGTGTGCATGTGTGATGCGAGTATGCATGTGTGAGTTTGCATGTGTGTTGCGTGTGTGCTTGCATGCATGTGTGTTGCGTGTGTGCTTGCATGCATGTGTGTGTGTGAGCGTGTGTGCATGTGTGCATGGATGCGTGTGTGCAAGTGTGTGTGTGTGTGTGTGCATGAGTGCGTGTGTGCAAGTATGTGTGTTTGCAAGTGTGTGTGTGTGTGCGTGTGTGTGTGTGTGTGTGCATGTGTGTGTGTGTGTGTGTGCGTGCATGAGTGCGTGTGTGCAAGTGTGTGTGTGCATGAGTGCGTGTGTACAAGTGTGTGTGTGTGTGCAAGTGTGTGTGTGTGTGTGTGCAAGTGTGTGTGTGTGTGTGTGCATGAGTGTGTGTGTGCAAGTGTGTGCGTGTGTGCATGAGTGCGTGTGTGCAAGAGTGTGTGTGTGTGTGCATGTGTGCAAGAGAGTGTGTGTGTGTGTGTGCATGAGTGTGTGTGCAAGTGTGTGTGCGTGTGCGTGCATGAGTGCGTGGGTGCAAGTGTGTGTGTGGGTGTGTGTGTGTGTGTGTGTGTGTGTGTGTGTGTGTGTGCGTGTGCTTGCATGCATGTCTGTGGCATGGCATGGCGCAAGCGCAGTCATTGCCCTGGAAGCTCTCACTGCCGTGCCTCGCTGCTGCAGATCACCACACATGACACTCCTTCCCTTGCTCCCACTCCCTCTTTCACTACCTCTCATTCCCTCTCTGCCCATCATGCACGTCAACCCAACTCCCCCAATCGACCACCACGCGTGCACCGGTGTGCCCGAGCAGAAGAAGGAGCTCAAGTACGACTGGCAGCTGGCGTACCAGTGGGGCGGGCAGGCGGCCATGCGCGTGAACAGCATGCGCGCGAGCTTCATCACGGAGCCCGACTGGCGCTACATGGCCCGCCAGGGCGTCAACGCCGTGCGCATCCCCATCGCCTACTACATGGCGCAGGAGCCCAGCCCCGACTGGCCTTTTGTGTGGGGCAGCTACAACTACATCGACTGGGCGTTCAGGATGGCTGCTAAGTACAACATCCGCATCTGGTTCTCCATGCACATGGTGGCCGGCTCGCAGTCGGGCACGTTTGGGTCGCGCCTGGGGTATGTGGACTTCACACGCCCCATCAACGTGGCCAAGACGCTGCAGGCCATTCGGTGGCTGGGGCGGCGGTACGGGCGCAACCCCATGTGGCTGGGCATTGGACTCATGAACGAGCCCAGCCTCAGCATTCCCCTCGACCTGCTCCAGGTACTCCACGAGGGGGTGGATTGAGGGAGAGAGGGGGGGTTAGGGGCGGGGAGGGGTGATGCAGTTGCGGTGTGTTAGTGAGCAAGTAGTGCTGGTTGCATGGTTGTGACCATGGGCGTGTGTGAACACTGTGGCAAGGGGCGGGGCAAGTAGATGAAGGGGAGGAATGCACAATTTACAAGTCAGCCATCCAACCCAACGCCACCACCATTGCCTCAACCTCCCTCCTTTTCCCTCTTACCCCTTGGTGCCTCTGTACTTGCCGCTTCCCTCACCCCCCCCAGAGCTACTACGTGAATGCAACGGCCATCCTGCGGCGGTGGAACCCGTGTGTGTTCATTGCCATGGAGGGGCGCACGGGCCCTGACGAGGTGCAGGCGCTCATGGCGAGCGAGCCCAATGTCATCCTGGAGACGCACATCTACGACGTGTTCAACCCCGATGGGTACACCAGCGCACAGCAGGAGATCTACGAGATGCAGACGTCCCGGAAGGACAGAATCGCGGAGCACCAGCAGGTGCGCTTGCACCAGCCATTCGCCATGTGACCTTTGTGCACTTACTCATGCCTGTTGCTTTCCTTGTGTGTGAAGCATGCTGTCCTCACAATCATGCTTCTCCCCCACTCCCCTTGGCTCTCCCTGCGTGCCACCACTGATGGTGCACGTGCTGTGTGCATGCGGGGCACTGGGGCAGTACGGGCGCATGTTGCTGGTGGGCGAGTTCTCCAACGCCATGGGGTTCAGCCCCGTTACGCCCGACGAGCAGGCCGCCTTCTCCCTCGCCCAGATGCAGACGCTCGCCACCGCCAAGGCCGGCTGGTTCTTCTGGTCCTACAAGATCAACAAGCCCAGTAAGCACATGCCACGCACAAGAGCAGCTTCAGCCAGGATCTGCTGGACTGCCGGCATTACTGCGCTTGCTTCTTGTCCTCCATTGATTGTTTCCCCCCTTCCGCATCTTCTCCCAACATGTCATCTTCTGTCTGTGGGTATCCTGTGGTATGTGCCATGAGCAGACACGAGGCACTGGGACTTCTACCAGAGTCGCACGGCAGGGTGGCTGCCCAAGAGGCCCAACGGCCACTGGTATTGACACCGCACACGAGCCACACACACTCTGGCCATGGTGGTCCACATGGGGTTGGTCAAACGCTCGTATGGTCGGTGAAAAGGACAAGGCGTCCAGGCACCACCAAACATGACTGGCCTGCGTTTCCTGTCACACCACAGGTTAGGGTAGAATGCCCTGCACATACTATTCTCAGGGTGATAGTTTGTACAGTGATTTTCCTGTATGAAGAGCTTGCACAAGCAGTGTCAATTTTATACCTGCCTTGTGACTATAGGGGCTGCTTGGGGTGCCACACAAGGCCCCAATAATGAAAGGGGTATAATGGCGTGATTGCCCTTGCTTTGGGCGGCTTTCAGAGATTACCCTGAAAGTGGAAGTGTGTCTCGGGTACAACCAAGTAGGAGACACAGGCCCACGCCACAGCTCTTGACTGGAGCCATGGGAATTAATGCCATGTAGACGTTCCAGCTTGCAGCGTGTTACTCAGACCCTTGGAACATGGAAACACAATTGCCACGCATTTGCCTCAGGCCAGGCAGAAATATGAACAATCTGCATCATTGGTTGATGTGGCAGAGACAAGCAGGCGGTGTGTCAAGCATGCTTGGAGGGGCGGGGCTGTTTGAAGATGGTGGCTCGGAAGTGCTTGAGCTCGTTGATGCTCTCGTTGATGTCCTCCAGTGCCCGATGCCGCTGCTCCTTGCGCGGTGCACTCTCCGCCGCTGCCGTGGACACACATGCACACATGCATGCACGCACGCACGCACGCACGCACGCACGCACGCACGCACGCACGCACGCACGCACGCACGCACGCACGCACGCACGCACGCACGCACGCACACATGCACACATGCATGCACACATGCACGCATGCACGCATGCACACATGCACACATGCACACATGCAACGACAGGCAGCGACACATGGGGGCCGTGGGGAAACACATGGTGGGCTGGAAGCATGGCAATATGACGCAGCTGGTGGGTGATGAGGTTCAAGTGTGCGTGTGTGGTGAAAGAGGAGGTAGGCAGTGCGTGGAGCAGAGGCAGAGGGGTACCTTTGGGGTACCAGCGCTGTGCCAAGGCTCTCACGGAGCTGACGTCCACGAGCACATGCGAGAAGTGCGCTGCCAGGCGCGGCATGTGCTTCTGTGCGCAAGCACACAGGGGAGGGGGCACACAGGAGAGGAGGGCACACAGGGGAGGGGGCACACAGGAGAGGAGGGCACACAGGGGAGGGGGCACACAGGAGAGGAGGGCACACAGGGGAGGGAGCACACAGGAGAGGAGGGCACACAGGGGAGGGGGCACACAGGAGAGGAGGGCACACAGGGGAGGGGGCACACAGGAGAGGAGGGCACACAGGGGAGGGCGCACACAGGGGAAAGGGGCACACAGGGGAGGGCGCACACAGGGGAGGGCGCACACAGGGGAGGGGCGCACACAGGGAAGGGCGCACACAGGGAAGGGGAGCACACAGGGGAGGGCGCACACAGGGAAGGGGCGCACACAGGGGAGGGCGCACACCGATTCTCAAAATTATATAGATTCTCAAATTTCAAGGAGTCATGCGAGGAGAATGACGTCAGCACAAGGAGAGTGGCAGCGAGCACATGCTTGCACGCATGCACGGCACCTGCATGAATGCATGTCACCTGCATGAATGCACGGCACCTGCATGAATGCATGTCACCTGCATGAATGCATGTCACCTGCATGCATGCACGGCACCTGCAGGAACATGAGGTCCACGTAGATGGAGTTGCCTGCCAGCGATGCATGGCCCTCCTGAGAGTAGCGCCTCACAAACGCCAGCACCTGGGGGCAGCGCATAGGGGGCAGCGCATATGGGGCAGCGCACAGGCAGTGGTGAGGGCACGAGAGTGGAGAAGGGGGAGAAGCAAGAGACAACAAGAAGCAGACGGAATGGCAAAAGCGAAGAGGAAGTGCATGCAGGGCGGTACTGGGCTCACCTTCTGCTCTGCGTCTGCCAAGGTGACTGTGCTGCTTCGCACTCGCTCCACCAACCCTGCCACTCACACACCGGGGACAAGGGGCAGTCAGCACTCACGCCAGTGCATGTTACATTACCTATGTGTGACTCAGAAGTCGTAGACTTAACGAGATCACCATTGCAACTATGACAATACGCACACTCTCACATCTGCTCTTAGTCTCCATGTGAGAGACTTGAGGAGTGCACACTGACTACAAACTGGACGTTGACAGTCAAGCGCTGCACATGCACACGCTGTTGATATGTAAAGGGCATGGGCGATGCTGGATTGGTGCACGCATGATTGGCCCCATTGGATAGGGCATGGCCGAGTGGGAGGAGATACAGCTTGCAATGACCCATGAAACACAAGGTTCCGACTCTCATCCCTCCCTCACTCATGGGCAGGAAGGCACATGGAGCCCCTGTATAGAACACCCAGGTGATGCACGCGGGAGAACCCCTTTTCATGGCCCCACATGGACAGCGTGCTGCAAGGGAGTCGGATTGACACCCACCATCTGGCCACCTTCCAAGGGCCGCTACCTGTGCCACTACACCCAGTTCACGCTAGTACCACGTAACCACGCACGCCCATCCAATCCCAATCACGCGCATGGCACACCGTTCCCTTGCTCCCCGCCATGCTCTCTGCCTGTGCGCGCTCACCGCTGGCGTGGTGGTGGTGCTGGCACCACTCGTTCATGCCCGCCAGCACCTGCTCGCTCTGATGCACCGCCAGGTCCGGCCCCTGCCATGCCATGGCATGGCCCCCACGCCATCCCCCCCCAGACATGTGAGGATAGAGAGCCGCGCGGCAGGCGGGCCAGGAGGAAGGAGGGAGAAACAGGGGAAAGTAGAGGAGAAATACGTTGTAAGAGCGGCGACGGGACCCGAGGGGCGAAAGGAGAGAGATGGCAACGAAGCGGCATGGCACATGAGCCGATAAGCCAATAAGCCCATGTGCGTGTGCGTGGGCGTGGTGACTGACCTCGAAGCGCTGCTTGAGGTCCCCGTCCGTGACGACGCACGCGATCTCCAGTATGTGATCCCGCTGCACGTCCAACCCTGCCGGGCGCGCGGGTGTGGGAAGAGTGGGGGGGTGGGGAGCAAGCACGGAGTATTTGTTGTCGCATCACACGCCCGTCTACTCCTCGTGCCATGCCTCTCGCCATGCCGCACGCATCGCTCGCTGGCGGCCATGCGCTCACCGGTCATCTCCAGGTCCACCCATATCAGCGGCCGTCGCAGCTTCACCTCCACCGCCTGCGCCGCGCGCGCCTCGCTCGCCGCCACGGCTGCCACCTTCGCAGGTGTCGCCGCACCGCCCCCCGCGTTCCTTGCGCCGCTCGTGTCGCCCACCACCCGCCAGTCACCGTCGTCGTCTTGACGCGCGTCCCCGCCGTCCTCGCCGCGTCCCCCGCCGCCATGCCCCGTCGCCTGGGCGGACGGGCCGCCGGCGAGCACGGCCGGTTCGACGGTGCGAGGCACGGCGGGAGGCGACCCGGCGCTGACAGGCGCGGCGGCATCGCGACTGGTCGCAGCAGGTTCGCGAGTCGGCGAGAGCGGCGGGGTGCAGTCGGGCGCATCCGCGTCGGGCGACGAGAGCGCGGCGAAGTAGTTGCGCGAGGACGACTTCATAAGGACCGGGGAGACGGTGCCTGGACCGGATGCGTACACGAAGCACGGCGGAGGTTGAGGTGTGATCGCGCTGGCTGGTATGGCCCCGACTGACGAACGGAGATCCCGCGCCCTAGATCCTCAACGAAAGATTGCAGAAAGGGGATTCCGTACATTTGCCTGCATACAAGGGCGGGTCACATCGGGTGGTAACCAGCTGTTCGAACACCCAAAATCCAAGGGCTGAGTTTGGGTACAATACGTTTCAAAAGGCAATAATTTTGGTTCAGTACGGTGCCTGTTCAAACAGGCCCGTTCCAACTTCGTGGGTGACCCGCCCTAATCGCATGTGCTAATTAGAGGGATGCGGCTATATTCAGGTATTAAAATGGATACATATCTTATCATTAACGTATTATACATACATATCCATTGCTACTGGTACTTCACAAATACTGCGAGTTTCTATCCATCCGTGCCACAGGCTTGTCTGCCCTCTGTCTTCAGCACATGCAGTTTGCCGCGTCTCCTTGACCATCTACCCGGTCCAGATGGTGGAGTAGGTGCCATAGACAGCAAAGGCCAAGCCAAACGCAATGAGGGCGGAGTCGGAGCAGATGGCTGCCCACGTGGCGTCGCGGCCCAGGATCTGCAGGTGGAAGGTGGCGGGCAGCACAAACGCCAGCAGCGCGCACACAGACGACCCCACAAACGCTATGAACGTGGCAAAGCCCGGCACCTGCACCGCCACCACGGCCGCAGCCAGCACGATGAGGGAGCGCACGGAGCGCAGGAGGAATCGGCGCAGGCGCGGGTAGGGCTGCACATGGCGCTGGAAGGCGGGCGTGAGCATGAGGCGGCGCTCAAAGATCTCGTGCACCGGGTGCATCATCACGGGGAACGTGAAGAAGAGCCCCACACACAGCCCCAGCTTCACGATGTCGGTGGAGAGGTCGCGCGGCAGGTTGAGCGTGATGATCTCCTTGGTGCCGTCCTGGAACGCCACGTACCCCACGATGCCAAACGCGATGTAGAGCAGCGTGATGCAGAAGATGCCCCCGCCCAGCACCAGGGGGAACTTGCGGCGGTCCTTCATGGACGCCTCGAGCGGCAGCGTCATGGCAAAGCCCTCGTAGCAGTAGCACGCCACGCCCAGGGCGAAGGGCACCGCTGCCAGCCCTGTCCACGGGTACACTGCTGTGGGGCGCGTGAAGCTGCTGACGTCATCGCGGATGACCACGGCCATGGCAAGCAGGTTGGCGACGTCAGCGAATATGCTGAAGGGCGCGAGGCCCGTGAGCGAGCGCACCCACGCTAGAAGCACCTGCGAGACATGCAGGGCAGGGGGGAGGGCGCATGGGCTTCACAGGTGCAGCTCACGGCAGCACAGAGGCGAGGTCATGCATTCCTGCTTCAAAGAGCCACGTGCATGCAATGAGCATTTTCTCTCTGAGCCCGTCCACCTCCCCCACCCTGTGGTCATCGACCCCACGTGCTGACCTGCAGGGGCGAGAGCAGCAGGATGAGGGTGGTCTTGACGGAGGCACCAGGCAGCGTGGGGCAGGCGGGCAGGATGGAGGCGAGGTTCTCGCCCACGAAGATGAGGTACGCCACACAGCACCCGCCCTGCGACACCAGCACCAACACGTCCACCGCGCGCTGCCCCACCTGCACACACACGGCACATCATGGCAGGGCGCGCGGGAGGGCATTCTCGTAGCGTCATGTGCGGACAGTGGCATGGCATGCACGGGGCGCATGAAGGTGCTGCGGCAGCGTGGGCGGGAGGGGCGCGTGCGAGGAAGGGGTTGAAATGCGAGCGAGGGCAACCTCTCACGCGGAGTCGCGGAGGTGGAGGAGAGAGGGCGAGAGCAGAGAAGGCGGAGGGGTGGAGCATGGACATGTGCGCGGAGTGGCATGCGCGCGTGCACGAGCGGACAGCTATGACCGGGTCACGGTGAAGCGCGTCACAGCGCTGCAGCACCGCGGGTGCAACCTCTGACGGCGCGCACGGCCGCAACACCCCTTGCCTTCCACAGCATGTGGTGGCATGGCACAGCCGCGTGCAGCGCGCCATGGCTAACAGCTACAACGTGCTGCCGTGCGTGCCCACACCCCACTGCGTCACTCTCCTCTCGCGCCCCACACCACCACGGGCGCTGCTAAGCCGCCCGCTCCACAGCCTCGGGGCGCCTATTCCCCTGCGCCCTTGCCATGCCGTGCCTCGCTCGCACGCGCAAGCAGCGCAGCACGTGCGAGCGACGGCAGGCGGCGTGCAGCGCACCTGCCCGCACGCGTGGTAGCCCAGGTCGCCGTACGTGTTGATCACGCCGCCGCCCCTCTCCGCCACCAGCCGCCGACACCGCACCTGGGGGAAGGCCGCGTCGGGCGCGGGGAGGGGCAGAGGGGGGCGCAGGGGGGAGGGGGAGTTGAATGGCGCAGTACGACGGACGCGAAGATCGCGCGAGCAGACAGACGTGGAACCCGCGCTGGTCCGCAGCAGCTGCTCCCCAAGGTGTTCCCCCTCCCCTCCGTCCCCGCGTGTACTCTTTCGCCGCCTTCGCCTCACCGTCCTTATCCCGCCCTGTATCCCCCCTCTCCCATTTCCCTTCCCTTCCCCCCTTTTCCGATCCCTCCTCCGCATGTTCTCGCCCGGCCGCCCCCGCTCCGTCACGGCGCGCACCAGCAGCATCATGCAGTGGAAGCTGAGCGACGCGCTACCGGCGATGGCGCACGACCCCACGAGCCACCCGGCCTGGCGGAACGTGAAGGGCAGCCCCAGCACGCCTGCGCCCACGATCGAGATCACCACGTTGCCCAGCGTCCTGCACGCCGACCCCACGTGCGCCACCTCGCCGTGCCCGTGCGCACCCGCGTGCGCGCTGCCGTGCTCCGGCACCTGCGCATCCCCCCAGTGCCCCTCGCGCACTTGCGCGCCCCCATCGCCATCCGCGCCCCCCTGCCCGTGCCTGCTGGCAGACCCCCCAAGTACCACAATGTGCGCCTGCCCCTGCTTGCTCGAGTCGCAGCCGTCTACAGATGATAGGGTCGGATGCGGTGCAGATGGGTGCGGCTCGGCTGCTTGAAGTAACGGAGTCGTCGCCGAAGGCGACCGCAAGTCGCGGACGCTCATGGCGAGCGGCGGAGCGAGTGCGGGAGGACGTCGACGAGACCCGTTACGCGCGCGTCGACACACAAAGATTCACGGATTGAAAGGGAATGGTCGGGTCAGGATGTTTCTTATTCTTGCGAGGGAACTAGAGGACGCAGAAATTCCGTACTAAAGTGTATTAGCTTCTGAAGTGTATAATAAAGCAGAATATTGTAAGGGATCGCTGTGGCACGCACGCTGTCAAGTTGTGGTTCCCTCCACCTAATCGGCCGACATGGAGCGGAGCGGAACATGGCTGGTGGCGGGGCTGGGGGGGGAAGGGCAAGGATGTGGTGTGGAGCAGATGGCACCACTCCGCAGCCCCTGCCACCTCCTTTCCCCCTGTCCCATGTCGTCAGCACTTGGTGAATCCGTGCGACGGGATTCAATGTTACATTACAGTACACGGCGGAAGATGGATGGGTACGGAAAAGCGCCGCCAGTCGCCAAAGCGCCCCGCTGGCAGTGCTGTGCCACGTGGTATGAAGGTTACTGAAAGCCAGACCACAGAGACAGCCTCGAAGTTGACGTGGAAAGAAGAGAACGTGACTTGGAAAGGGATGTGTGTTGCACTTTCCCTCCGAAGTTAAGGGTCACGTGGGAGGATTCTTTGTTACGAAGAATGAACAAGCGAATACGGATTGCCCCAAAGGAAATTGGAAGGGAAATTATATGGATAGTCACAAACACGGGCTCGTTATCACAAATGGTCAATCAACTTTCCCAAACGGTCACAGAATCTATGTATTCTATCACGGATGATCATGCGTTTATCACGGATGTCATACATTGCCCCACAACTCTATCACGTATGATAACACAATGAAACGCTCAATGGAACGTTAAAAACTATGTGTGAATGAAGAGATTCAGGGACAAGTAACTCACGCACACAATGTTTTGTTAACAACGAAATAAGTTTGTCACCAACAAACACTAATCTTTTGTGTACCCGCAATTTATTTACATCCATAGAGAGTCATAAATCAAAACCTAAGTCGAATTTAATTGGCATATCTGGCTATTAATAGCTGATTTAATGCAAAATACATATAAGCCTTATTTTAACAGTAAAAAAATTCATACCAAAGGCTTTCAGTATTTAACTTAAATTTCTTGTCGTATATAGTTAGGTTGATGCCCCCTCGAGTGAGATACAATCCGAGCGTGCCGTAGTTTTATTTTATTTATTATTTATTTTTATACATTGCAAATTAATAGCACGCACATTTCTTTGATTCGCCTCTACAACTCACTATGACAATAACTGAACTAAAAAAAAAAAAACCAGCTGCAGTTTCAAAGTTAACAAATCTCAATACTTTAAGCTCGTTTTTCCTTGTACACAGCGATTTTCATCTTATGGCGATACATGATAATTTTGCAGGGTAGCATGTGACTATCCGTGATAGAACCTTAGACTTTGTGACCACCCGTGATAGATTTTTTCATTTCTGTGACCATTAGTGATTACCGTGCGACAATCTGTAATTCCGATCCCTTGATTATGACCATTTATATAATAACCCAAAAGGGAATGGGAAGGGGTTAGAGCGTGTAACATAGCATCTACCAAACGAAACGGTATATTATATAAGAAGTTCTGATTATTCCGAAGTTGTAGGGTCACGCACACAGTTTGGAAGTTTTTAGTAGTCACCCTTACTTGTAAAAAAAAAAAAAACGGATGGTATTTTTTTGAATAAACTTGCTCACCAAGCTAGTGTGGACTCCACTAAGAAGAACTTTATTTTATGACATTCAGTTTTCTCCCCTGTGTGTGTTGTCATTGCGAAGATTCGCTCTATACGGGTCTGGAGCTAGCGAAAATTGGCACGAGCTCTAGGAGTTACTTTGCTTGGTTCCTTAGCACTTGCGCATTCACGGGACGATTGGCAAGAATTTTGACTAGCAAATTTGGAATTACAGAATATGATCACAAACAATAGCAAGAATGGATACATCAGAGCCTAGCAACCTAGCAGCCAGGCAAGCCGACCGCAAGCACAGCATGGTGGACCGCCTGCCAGCGTAGCGCTGCGGCGCCGCGCCGGCGTTGCAAAAGAGCGATCCGCCAGCGTAGAAAGTCCTCGGCTCGCCGACACTACACCAAGGTGGCTTGCCAACGTTACAGTAGAGCAGTCCGACAACGTTGCAACCGCGGGTGACAGTAGCGCAGGTCTGCACCCACTTCGCAGGTGCGCAGCGACGGTCGAGCATGTCCACTACCGTCATGCGGGTGCTAGGTCAGCACGTGCCAACGATCGCGCTAGGAGCCCACGTTGACCTCGGGATACTAGCCCAAGGTCGCCTTCGCCATCACGACCTCGACGACGGTCGAGTGTCTCTGCAGATCCTCGTCGAAATAACTTTCGTCAAACGGGTCGACCATTCAGCGAGCGCACAGATTGATGACCTTTCTCGTCGACCACCGCGGCCGTCGAAGACCCCTCCTGGTCGACGACCCGTCTGTCGACTAGTTCGGTCAGCCCGAGCGTCGAGCTTCCCTCCTAGACGCCCCAGCTACGCGACTGTCCTGTGGAGGTCGACGACCACCTCGTCGTCCTGTGCCGTCGAAGTAGGCAATTGGCTCCCCCTCAACGGCGTCGCCGCAACGGTCCCCTGCAGCCTGTTGAGCTGCTCGCCCAGGCTGGCGTCGGCTACTGCGTACGGTTTGCTGCTTTCTCCCGTGCACCCGACTAGGAAGTCGGCGTCTCCCAAGCGAGGGCAGGGCCAACACTCCATTCCGGTTAACACTCCCATGCCTCGCTCACGCTTGGGCACCCTAACCACACGACATAACCCTACATAGAAAACTCGTCGCAGGCACGCACCCAACCCACAGCACGTCGTCACCGCACCAGCCGTTCAGAAGGGCACGTCACCTACTGCTGCACATCACCATCTCCTCTACCGAAGTCCGCCAGACACACCTGGCCGATCGCGACAGAGCACCGGTTGAAGGCCGAAAAGTGCAGCGCCTTCGACTGGAAGTCGGGTGGCTGCTCAGAGGTCGGGAAATACTTCAGCACAAACTTCCTGTGCTTCACCATCTGCTGCAGCCAGGCGTAGCGTCGCTCCATATGCTTGAGGTTGCCCTTCAGCCCCAAGCCTTCTACGACCGTGATCGCCAACTTGCTGTCCATCCGGAGGACAGTTGGTTTCCCAGCGTCAAGCAGCTGGAACTCTGCAAGAAGGAAGAAAAGTCGACGTCCCTCCATGCTGGCCTCGGTGGCCGCAACATACTCCGATTCAGTCGAAAAGTGCATTACGCACTTGATTCGCTGGCTCGACCAGTAAATTTGGCCCCTCCAAACACGAACATGTAGCCGCCCGTGCTCGTCCGATTTCGCTTGTTGCCACCGTCGTCGGCGTCCACGTAGCCGACCAGCTTCAGCGACTCTGGTCCACCGCCGAACTCCAGGGCGTTGTCACGGGTGTTGGTGTCAGAATGAACGGACAGGAATGACTGTACTAGCACAAAGTTGGATACAAGTAGTAAACCCTAATCTAGTGTACCCCCTAAGGTGTAACCCACTACAGCCTACAATCATATAAACATATAATGTTTGACACACCCCCATAGGCGCAGTGGGAGACAACCACAGGGTCACGAGACCAGTCAAAGCAAAGGAAGGCAAGCTCAGGGTGGATCTCAAGGATTCCACACAAATTCCGAGCACAAGCTAGTGGTCACAAGACCAGTTCACATGCAGGTTTATAACAGAGCAAGAGATACAGTGATCACAACCTAGCAAGAGTAAACATGCAGGTATAGATATATATAGTGATCACAGTACAAGCAAAGTCAAGAGGTAAGTAAGTGAGGTCCAGTAGGCACAAGGCCCAGTAGAGTGCAGAAGCGCTGATGGTCACGAGGCTGAAGCGCCTTGGTGAACACATCAGCAGTGTTGGCCTCAGTGGCCACGTAGCGAATACAAAGCTGACCGCACTGCTGCAGCTCACGAGCAAGGAAGTACCGCAGGGCGATGTGCTTCGTTCTGTGCTCCAGTCTGTGCTCCTCACACAAGGCAATGGCAGCCTTGTTGTCGACGTACAGTACTGGAGGAGAACGAGGCGGCTCTCCGAGGTCGGTCAGCAGGTAGGTCAGCCAGCGTAGCTCCTGGGCAGCCATGGCTGTAGCGTAGATCTCAGCCTCGCAACTGGAGCCGAGAACAGAAGAAGAGCGTGTAGAGCGCCAAGAAACTGAGCCAGAGCCAAGGCTGAAGGTGTAACCCTGAGACGACCGCTGAGTGGCCTGGTCGTCTGCCCAAGAAGCGTCTGAGTGCCCTGTGAGAACAACTCGGTCTCGCCCTCCAAGCACAAGCCCCATGCCCGACGTACTGCACAAGTAGCGCAACACCCTCTTAGCGGCATCCATGTGCTCCTTCCTGTGACGGCCAGGAGCGACATAGCGTGCAAGGATGCTAAGAGGGTATGCAAGGTCAGGTCAAGTGCAGGTCATCAGGTACATGAGGCAGCCCACAAGCTCTGGATACGGGCCACTCGGCTCTACGGACTCATCCGAAGGCAGAGCTGAGAGCGAGTGACCGGTAGGCAGAGGAGTGGACTGAGGCGAGGAGTACGTGAAGCGGAAGCGCTGGAGAACCTGCTGCACCATGTGTGACTGAGTCAGGGTGATGGTGCGCCGTGCTCTGTCCCGGGTGATCCGCAAGCCAAGATAGCTTGTCAGTTCACCCAGGTCTGTGCACGTGTGTCTCCTCTGCAGCTCCGACTTCACGTAGGCGAGTCCTGCAGTGTCAGCAGTGGCAAAGACCAAGTCGTCGACGTACACGAGGATGTAGAACGGCGGCAGCGAAGTGTCGGTGCGCAGGAACAGCGACGGGTCAGCTGTAGAAGGCGCGAACCCAAGAGCCGCAAGTGTAGTCCTCAGTGTGTCGTGCCACTCACGCGGAGCCTGGCGGAGACCGTAGACCGGCCGCTGAAGCCTCCACTGGGTACCAGGAGGAAACGACCCAGTG